CCCCCTGGAGGAGACCTACATTGCCACCATCCTGCGGGAGATCCTGAAGGGCCTGGACTACCTGCACTCAGAGCGCAAGATCCACCGTGACATCAAAGGTCCTGCACTGTGGGCGTAGCTCTCTTCCTGCTGGGCCTGCTGACCTAGAGAGGCCAGGGTGGGGCGAGTGGGCTATACTGCTTTAGGTCTGGGTTTCGGGAGCTCTGCAGCCACTTGGATATGGTGGTTCCAGCTTGCTGTGTATCAGGAAGGTGTGGCCCTTACTACAACCTTACTTAAAATTTTCATATAGTGGTGGGGGTGGAGTCCAGGGCCAGTGTTTTCCATGGAGCTGGTTCCTGGTCTTCATAATCTTCTTAGTCTCTCCCATGATCTGGAAAAACCAGCTTTGTGCCTAGTGTGGGCAAGGCTTTTTGAACCTAGGCAAGGATCTCTGCCTGTCAAGTGTTGCCCTGCTGAGCACACAGGGCTAGGCCACCCTCCCCTCCCAGTGTGCCCAGAGCTTTGGGCTATTTTGACACTGGTGATGCCGCTGGCTGAGGCAGAGGCTTTGTGACTAAGTTTATGTGGGCTCTAGGCTTCAGGCAGGGTCACTCCTGGGAGTCCTGTGGCTGTCCTGTAGTTGAAATATCATTGAGGCCAGATTGGGGGCCTCAGGGATATTCAGGTGGGGGCCTCTCGGGGTACTGGCCCTGCTGCCTTGTAGCCCAGGACTGCCTGATTTGGGGGTGGCAAGGAAAGTAGGGGTCCCAAGAGAGGCTTGCTGAGTCCCAAGGGACCAGGTGGGATGTTGCTCCTAAACAGGGCTTCCTGGGGCATTTGAAGTTAAAGTGACAGCCCTGTCCTTGTTGAGCAGCTGCCAACGTGCTGCTCTCGGAGCAGGGAGATGTGAAGCTGGCAGACTTTGGGGTGGCAGGGCAGCTCACTGACACACAAATCAAGAGGAACACATTTGTGGGCACCCCTTTTTGGATGGCGCCGGAGGTCATCAAGCAGTCAGCCTATGACTTCAAGGTGGGCTGGGGACTGGGGGGTGAGATGGGCTTTTGGTGCAGCCATGTGGGGTGCTGGATGCCACAGTTGTCCCCTGTATTGCCCCATCTAGGCCGACATCTGGTCTCTGGGCATCACAGCCATCGAACTGGCGAAGGGGGAGCCACCAAACTCTGACCTGCACCCCATGCGAGTTCTGTTCCTAATTCCCAAGAACAGCCCACCCACACTGGAAGGTCACCACAGCAGACCCTTCAAGGAATTTGTGGAGGCCTGCCTCAATAAGGACCCCCGATTCGTAAGCCTGGCCCTTGGCTCTGGCAGGCAGGCAGGTTGTTGGTGGTGGGGGACACAAACCTGGGCCCTCAGGGGTAGCTCACTCCCAGCCTCCTCCTTTGTAGTGACCTGTTAAGAGGGTGGGCCTCCCACTCTGCCCCCTGCCACCATGCCCACCCAGCCTGCCTTGTATGTGCTGGCCTGCAAGGGTAGACCTTGGTTGTGTTTGGTACTGGCTGTGCCTGGCACCTGGTGATCGGCATGCACCCTCACAGAGGCCCACAGCCAAGGAGCTTCTGAAGCACAAGTTCATCACACGCTATACCAAGAAGACCTCCTTCCTCACGGAGCTCATCGACCGCTACAAGCGTTGGAAGTCAGAGGGGCATGGCGAGGAGTCCAGCTCTGAGGACTCAGACATGTAGGGGCCTTGCTTATCCGTGGGGGGGATTCAGCTGTGGGTGTGCAGGCCCAGTGGGAGTCTACTCCAGAGGTTGGAGTCCCTGTTGTGCAGGGCCCCTTTGGCTATAGGGCAGGTCCTTTTGCTCCTCCCTTTCCCTCCCCCCATGGAGCGCTGTACACCTGCCCCAGGAACAGATGGGTTGGGCACTAGTGGAAACAGTAGTTTCATCTTGCTGTTCCCAAAACGATGCTGTCCATAACATAACCTTTTTCAGTTTTCTGTGGTGCTAGGGCTGGAGCCCCAGTCCCTTCTGACTCTGCCTGTCCTTCAGAGACGGTGAGGCCGAGGAAGGGGAACAGGGCCCCATATGGACATTCCCCCCAACCATCCGGCCCAGCCCGCACAACAAGCTGCACAAGGGGATGGCCCTGCACAGCTCTCAGAAGGTCTGTCCTGGGGTGGCTTGTAGAGTTGCAGAGTAAGTTGGGGTGAGGCCTGGGCTCGAGGAGTGGGGGTCAGGGAAGAGCAGGGCATCTGGAGCCAGGAGTGTTGCTGGGCTGGCTGGAGTTGTACTGAAGCCTGGGCCAGGTGTGTGGAGAACATGAGGCACATTGAGAGTTGACTTGGGTGGGGGAGACACAGACCTTGGTGTCTTGGGGATGTCTAGGCCAGGCAGGAAGCCATTCTTCTGCTCTTACTCGTCCCATGCCCCTGCTTTTCCCTGTACAGCAAGTGGACCCTATCAAGAGACAGCCACGGTCCCAGTGCCTGTCCACACTGGTCCGGCCAGTCTTCGGAGAGGTAAGGATGGGGTTGGGCCTGGGTTGGTTCTGTGGTGCCCCTTTGCCCCTGCAGCACCAGTGCTTGGGCAGCATGGGTTCTCCATGCAGGTGCTTTTTGGTCTCTTGCAGCTGATTGTGGGTGGATTTGTGGGCCTAGCTTTCTCACAGGAACAACCTCAGAACAGCCATCCTCTGGGAAGAATGTACTGCCCTATAGGACCCTTTTTGGTTAGTGGTACTGGGAATGGAAGCCCTCCTCCTAGATTCTGAGATGGTCTTCTGGGTTGTCTGGATTCCCCTACTTGCCATGCTGCATCAGCCTTTGGGGTTGCTGGGGTCATTGGTGTGCACATGCCCAGATCTGGCAGGATCTTGTTTTAGCTGTGCAGAGATCCACTGGAGTCTCGGGTGGCTCTGAACAAGAGCTGATATTCTGTGACAGAAGATAGGCAGGGAGGCTGGTTCTTGGTGCTAGGGTCAGTTCCAGAGCAGGGCAGCCTGAGGGTGACCCTGTAGTCCTTCACCTTCATCTGCTGGTGGGAGGTCAGAGCCATCCCCAGCTGTACACTGTAGCTGGGACCTTTGTGTCTGGGATTGGAGCTTGGGCATGGTTGGGCTAGGTCTCCCTCCCGGGACACCAGCTCTCATTGCCGGGTGTGAGGATCCCCTGTGAGCATCACCTCACAGGTAGTGACAGGCAGTGTCGATACCTGAGGGGAGGACACAGCCATGCAGGGCCATCCATATCCTGGGCAGGCTGTAGGTCAGGGCTCAGCCCTAGCAAGAGAGGTCTTTGGAGTTGATGGCCAAGGGTGGCTGCTGCCTGTTGTAGCCCAGGGTCGTAAAAATCTGGTGTGTGTATGGGCCTGCACTATATTCTGGAAGTTGCCGGGGTGCTTGTTTTTAGTATTAGGCTACACAGCGTGTGCTAGTGCACACCTGTAATCCCAACACTCAGGAGGGTGAGGCAGGAGAATATCCATGACTTCAAGGCCAGCCTGGGCTCTATTGTGAGTGAGCTCAAGGCCAGCTTGAATTACACAGCAAGGCCCTGTCTCAAAAACAAGATCGGGGGCTGGGGAGATGGCTCAGTAGAGTAAGTGCTTGCCTGACAAGCGCAAGGGCCTGAGTTCAATTCCCGGTTCTGCCAAAAAAAAAAAAAAAAATCAGGTTGAATCTGTGAGGTAGCTGATGGGACCCTGGTTGGAAGGTGTGAGTCCAGAGGCTGGGGGCCTTTTGTCAGTGCAGCAGGTTGTGCTGCTGAGACCACATCACCACCTGCCAACTTCCTGATCTGGTCTCTGCAGCTGAAAGAGAAGCACAGGCAGAATGGTGGCAGTGTGGGCGCGCTGGAGGAACTGGAGAACGCTTTCAGCCTGGCAGAGGAGTCCTGCCCTGGCATCTCAGACCAGCTCATGGTGCACCTGGTGGAGCGTGTGCAGAGGTGAGAGGCAGGCGGCTGTTTCCATCTGTGGCTTTGAACCTATGGGGTCTGGGGGAGCGCTGGCCCCAGGGCATAGTGTGTGCAGATGACTCCTTACCTGAAGGCTTCCCAGAAGGGTCTGGGACAGCAGGCTTAGCCTTTGGGCTGCTGCACATCCTGGTTTGCTAGGTATTCCTGCTCTCTGGGCTTTGATTTCCACACCTTTCAGATAGGATACCCAGCAGCCCAGGCCTGTCATTGCTGTTCCCAGGACCCACAGCATCACAGACACCTGGAGACAGCACGTCCACAGCTGTGGACCTGTCTGCTGGGGCCCTTGCAGCACAGTGACATGCCTTTCTCCCTCAGGTTCTCACACAGCAGAAACCATCTGACATCCAGCCGCTGAGCATGCTGCTCTTCATGGAGAGGGTGGAGTGTGCTCTGTTGCTGAGCTAAGTGTGGACAAAACTATGACTTGGAAGTCCCCCACCTGTGCTGTGTTGTGACTGCAAGGACTTGTCAGCCTGGGGCCTCCCAAGCTGGGTCACCTTCCCACCCAGTGCAGTATCCAGTGTCCCTCTCCCCGCGTGGCCCATGTGCAGGTGTCCACTGGCAGCCACAAGGTTTAGTTTCTTCCAGAAACAGCCCTGTGGCTACCAGGCCAAGGAGTAGAGTGACTGTTGGGCAGCTCTGTCCACTTCCCTTGGGTTAGGTTGGGGAAATGGCAGCCCCAAGGGCCAGGCCAGGCCATCCCATCCCAGCCCATCTCCCTCTTCCTCCTACCCTGATGCTGTCTGTGGTGGTCCAAAATGGTCCTAGATCTGCTGCCTTGGAGGGTCAGATCAGGTACTGTGTTTTCTCATAAGTACTCATGTCTCCCCAGATGTGTTTTTAAGAAAATGAGCTGTTTCCTTTGGTGTTCTGAGGGTAAGGTGTTCGCTTCCTGGAGCACTGAAGACGCTGACACTTGTAATAAAGACCTGGATGGGAGACACTGGTGTTTGGGGCCCACCAGGTGGGATTCCTGCAGGGGCAGTTGCTCCTTGGTTTACTTTGCTTCCCAGCTGCTGAGGGTCCCAGCACAGTGACTCCTCCTGGCTATCTCCTGCGTGTCCCCTAGCGAGCAGAACAGAGGGGCACACAGGCTGGTGAGGGGATGCCATTTATTTGTAGTCACTCATGAAGTGGAGTGCACAGGGAAGCAAAAGTAGGTAAAGGTGCCACCCTTCTGGGCTGCAGGGGACTTTGGCTTCCTTCTCTCCAGAGGTAGAAGGGATGAGAACCAGACTGGCTTTTGCCAGGCTCTTGGTACCCTGGGTGACCCCATCTAACATCCCACCATCCTGGGCTTCAGCCCAGGGCAACATGCAGCTCACTGCCCAGACCTGAATATAGTTCTTGGTCAACGCCAGCGCCTGTGTTCTGCTCAGGTCTGAAGAGTGAGCCATCCATGTCCTTTCCATGTCCTGGCCAGCCAAGGGCCTGCACTGTGCCTGAGGGCTGCTGTAAGCTTGGTCACTATACTATCTATGCTTCCCTTTCCTCAGGTCAGCCTGAGGATGGTGATGGGCATTTCTGTTGCGTGCAGTCTGCTGACCAGGTCCTGGGCCAGGAGAAGTAGTCTTCCCTCTTTCTCCTTGAGTGCCCCCTCTAGCCATGAACAGAGCCATCCTGTGTGGGGCTGGGCGCACCACGTGAGCTGCTGGCCCTCTCGATCACCTCCATCCACCTGCAGGAAAGGTCAGACTGTCAGGCCAGTGGGCTTGTTCTCACAGCTTCCCAGGGGTGACCTGAAGCACTGCTCAGTCCTTACTGTATAGGGCCAGGAAATTTTGCCTCTACCTCCCTTCAGTGGAGGAGGTGCCAACCAGACCCACTCTGCTCCCTGCAAATTACCTCTCAAATGTGTACTTGCTCTCAGCCCGGAAGAAGTACACATGGGATTTGAACTGGAGCTTGAAAACGTAGTCCTTGAGGATGCCATCTGCTTCCCTGGGGATGCTCACGCTGTAGCCCAGCAATGGGAGGCTGGCCAGGGGATGGTCGTCCTGCAAGTTCACATAGGGATGTGGGCAAGGTTGTCGCTTTATCCCCACTGCCAACTGTAGAGTGGCACCCAGGAGGAACCCAAGGTGAGGGAGCCCTGATTCCCATTGGACAGAGAGTGCCGAGAAGGTGGGTGAGCAGTGGGCCAGAGGTGTGTTGAGGATGCAGGTGAGAAGAGTGCATCCTCAGCACCTAGTGCCAGGCCCCAGTGCAATGTGTGTACCTGGTGAGTCTTGTAGAAAAACAAACAGAAGTTGGTAAAGACCACCCAGAGCTTCTGCCAGCCATTAGTGTTCTTGAATTTTCTCAACAGGTAGCCTGAAAGCTGGTTCTGTCCAGAGAAAACATGTGCTGTAGTAGTTGGTTCCTGACAGACACCACGGCTGTCACTGCACCCCAATAGAGCTGTCCCAGATGTTGAGTGGAAAACTAAGAAAGGCCACCACTCCAACAGCCCACAGACCTACTCGAGAGCAAGGAGAGGAACAATGAGGCAGGTGCCCAGGGGAGCATGTGACAGGCCCTGTCAGCCTGTTTCTGACCCTGAAGTCCATGTGGAATGGCCAGGCCCTTCCTTGACCTGCCCACAAAGTAGCTCCATGTCAGGTATTGGACGTGGACCCCTGCCAGTCTGCAGAGCTGCACAGGGCGTCCACTTGGAGCCCATCTGATAACAGCTTATGGCCTAGTTAGGCACCTGCTAGCTTTGACCCAGAACAGTGTCACTGAGCATCCGGTCCTTGGCTTTGGAGAATGGACAGATGCATAAAGCAGGCCAGGGAAGGACCTGCTAGGGGATATATGTAAGTCATGCTGGGCTGGAGTGGGAGGAGGTACTATATGATGTGAGAGAGGCTATGAGGGCCATACTCAGGTTGGGGCTTCTCAGCACCCCGAGACAGATGCCCAGGCATTGTAAGTGAGCTATGGCCTCTGTTGGACTTCCTTCTCCACAGGGTATCACATGTCTGTCTAGGGGTGAAACACCCTTCCCAGCAAGGGGGATTTTCCAAACCTATATACCAAGGGGACAGCAGGAGGCAGTGGTACCCGAGAGCGGGCAGCCTTCAGTGTGCTGGTGGTCAGCACAGCCATACCTCAACAGCAGCACTGTGGTCTGCCCTGGACACACTTGTGTTCCGGTACCAGCATACATGCATTGTGGTGTTGGCCCGGTGCTGACCCTGCCCTTCCAGGGAACCTCCTGGGCCCTGAGAAGTGTCTTCCAGCTCCCGATCCAGCACAACCTCACTGGTGGACCCTAGGGGAGAAGGCAGTGCTGGACATTGCTGCAGGCTGCTCCCAGGTGGTCCTGGGTACCCAGGGCAACAGCTGACCAGAAGAGCTGTGGGTACAAAGGAGTTTCCCAAGGGTTGGGGCCAGGGGACATATCACCTCTGCTGCTCTTGGCTGCCTGGATTGCAGCATTTAGGTCCAGCATCCACTTCTCTTTTTCCAGTCGAGTGCTGTGGGGAGAAGGGTGAGGCTCAGTGGAGTATATAGCCTGTCACTTGTTCCTCCAGGCAGGTCAGGGTCTCTGTTCCATCTGTCTCATCTGTGGGACAGCAAGGAAAACTGGCCTCCTCGAGGCTGGTCCATTCCTGACACAAAGCTCTTAGGGCCTCTTAAGTAGAGACAGCCTAGCTAGGATGCATGGTTAGGTTGGTTTCCTCCTTGCACTCAGGCCCTGCCTCTTGCTCCAGGCCAGAAGCCCTCATGACCTGGGAGACCCTCAGAGGCTGTCTCCTATGAAACCCTAAGAACAGTGGGTATGACAAGACAGAGGATGTGCTTTTGGCTGTGTGACTGGGAAGTAAAGCTGAGACCAAGAAAGACCCTGGGAAGCTCCAAGGCATTCAGCTACCACAGCCTTCAGCCCTGTGCCCCAGGCGCACTGGGTTGGGGACACACAAAGCACTTGCCTGGCTGCCACCACAATTGTTTTCTGAGCTGCATAAATGGTGAAGCAGTGGGGAACAGACCACTCATTGTCACTCTCTTCTGCCTGTGGGTGAGAAGAACAGATGTTTCACAAGCAAGGAAGGCACTGGCTGAGCCCGAGTCCAAGAAGGGACACGTGATGTCCAGCAACTCTAGGTGCAGCAACACTAGATGCAGCCAGCTTGGAAGCCCTGTGCTGTCCAAGTCTCTGCAACTACAAGGGCGGCCACAGAAGGCACATTGGTGTCCCCAGGCTGTGGCAGATGCTAGCCAGTCAGGTGAGCTCTGAGCCAGAGGACACCCAAGTACTCACCGGTGGGTCCAGCACTATTAGCTGAAAATTAAGCAAAGGAGAAGAAGTTGAACATTTTCATTTAAAGGGGGAGTTGGGATGGTTCATTTATGGCCCTGGCATCACAGCCTACCAACATGAACTGCAAAGAAAAGCTGTGGCCGACTAAGAAGTGTTTCTATGAAGCAATTTCAAAGTAAAGCATCTCAAAGATCAAGCCAAATACATATACAAAGAGCTGTTCCTGGGCCAGGTACAGTACTGGAGGAGTACAGGGATGACTTGCCCTTAGGAAGCCACCAGCATCTCTGTGACCTGACATCACCACTCAGAACCTGCCTCCATGTGATCAAGGTCAGCTTTCTGAGAGCCAATGTCCTGCTCAGTATCAGGAGCAGGGCCCACTGTGTGCCCAGGACAGCCAGGATGCCAACCACCAGGCCAGTGGCAGAAGGGAGGTAAATTCTGCAGGGTGGAAAAGTAGTTACTACCTGTAACAAGTGTGACTTGTAAGTACTGGATACAGTTTAGTATGTGGAGATTTCACAGGTGTGTATGAAAAGCTCACAGAGCACTCGGGACCTGGGCCCCAGATACCCTGAGAATTCTTGTGTGAGACAGCACAGAGCTAGTGAATGAGGCCAGCTCTGCCGATGGCAGAGGGACACAGTGATGGGAGGGTGCCCTGCTTTCTGAGTCATGGAGTCACAGGAACAGTGGAAGGGATGGAGCACTGCCCTTTTCAGGCTGCAGAGCAAGTGTGCAGCAGTAGTGCACTCAGAGCTATTCAGGGGTCCCTTTCAGCAGGCAGCCTGAAAGCTGGGTCTGTCCAGAGAAAGCATGTGCTCTGTAGGAGTTAGTGCCTGACACACACCATGGCTGTCACTGCTGAGGCCTTGCCTGGTCTTGCCTGCCTACCCTGCGCACAGGTGGAAGCAGAGGCCCAGCAGTGCCACTCTCCGTCTTGACAAGCCAACTTCAGCCTTACATCCTGTGAGTGAGTGTACCTTGGAGCACGGCTTCCTGGGCTCCCTGTCACTGCTTGTCCCTGTTACCTCAGAGGTCAAAGTATAAGAAGTGATGAGTCACAGAAAGTGACTGCACTGTGGTGGCCAAAGTCAACGACCCTGGAGGATGAAGTGTGTGAGGCTTTCCCCTGATTTTTTTTTTTCTTTGATAAAATTACGTTTTGAAAGGAGACTTAAATATTAACACGGCATGCTGCTGGTGAGGACAGAGGAGGCTATTGAGTCAGCTGTACTAAGCTAGGAGCAAAGCTGGGCCAGATGCTACAGACAGCTGCATGGAGCCACGGCCTTAGCACAGGAGTTAAGCAGACGTGTGCAGGGCAGATTCCAATGAGGGGACAGGGATCAGGCCTGTGTGCTCCAGCAGTGAACAGTTGGCTGGGGAGAGATGACCACTGGCAAAGCTCGATGTGCCTCACCTTACTGCTCTCAAGAGGACCCATGTGAAGGCATACAGGTCCCAGATCCACACATTTCTGTGACCTCAAGCAGGGCTTTCATCAACCACAAGAGCACTGAATATCAGTTGCATTTTAAAAGGTTTCTGTTCCTCAGAAGGCACCACAGTAGCACGAGTGGTCTATGGTTGTCCCATCGCTGCCCAGGCCACGGGGATGTGGGCATGTGTGTGATGTGGACAAAAGGCCCAAGGGAGAGGGCTTAGAACTTATGACTGAGGGGTGGAAGGAGGAGGGGGAGGAGCAGAAAGAAGCTGCTTATGCTAGTGGATGAAGGTGACAAGTACAGGTGGCTTGTGGAGGAAGCTGGCCATAGACCCTGCTTGAGCTAGGGGTGGCCAGGTTTGTCTTGCCTGGTGCTAAAAACCAGAGGCCTGTATAAAAGGGCCCAGCTGGCCTGGTGGGCCACAGGTTAGTGGTGGATAGGGAATCCAGACATCAACAGAACCTAAAATGAAGAGCAACCCAGAGGGTCCTCTGAGGCAGAATGGCCATTACACCTGGGTAGGAAACTGCTGCTACATGAGGGGGGCAGAGTGGTACCACTCACCAGCATGCCACGCAGTGGAAGGAGGCCCCGGATCCGGAAGTGGCTGCTCCCTGTGATGCCTTTGCTTGTGTACAGCAGCATATCAGAAAACTAAGGGACGGAAGAATCAAGGGAAAAAGCTTCAACAGCCTCATAAACTCTCCTGGATTTTAGATGGCCATTAAGTAGTTATCAGATCTGTGCAGCTTGCTGGTGATCTTTAGCAATAAAAGGTATTTGATCATTTTTGACTAGAGGTAAATGGCAAGCATGCAAACCAGCTCACCTGGTAGCTGGCCTTGGTGAATGTTGGCTGTTGTGACTCAGTGACCTCACCCACACAGTACAAGCTGACCCCTAGCTAGGTCCTAAAACGTGGGTACTGGCAAAGGAGCTGGCAGGAGCAGGACACGTGGGCAGCTCCTTGATGCCACAGTGCTGCTTAACCAGACTAGCCCTCCTGCCTGCCAAGGAGTGCTAGAGCCTTCCCCTGGACACTGCTACCCTAGGCCTCTGTGGATCCTGCAGATAGCTTCCTGGAGTCTAGAACAGGTGAGGGGCCAGAAGGAGCAGCTGCTTTCACTTCCTCACCACGGGGACTCCCTGGCTACCCTGGCGCTCTGAGATTGTCCCCTTGGGCAGAAGTTGCTGGGAGCTGAGTGGCACATGGAGGTAGACAGGCTGTGGCCATGCACAGCCACTTGGGGAGAGCCGTGTCTCTTCTTCCTAGCATGTGGGGTTCGTGCTGTGGACCTACCAGGAAGAACATTGTCTGTTGCAGGCCCTTCTTGGTGAGCTTGTGGAGGCAGCCCTCACGGATAAACTCCTGGAAGACAGGCGAGGTACAACAAGGGTAAGGACTGGCCAGCTTCTCCAAGACCTGTGATGGAGACCCTGTTGGCAGGGCCCTCCACCCTCCAACAGTGCCCTGATCACTCACTGCCTCTCAGCTTCTGATCCTGGGCCAGAGAGACCAAGTGAAGGTTAAACATTTGCCATAGAGGGACCACAGGAAGCTTTACCACAGGCATCTGAGCCCAGCTGTGGGAAAAGTTGGGTGGGAAGGGTCATGAGAATGGAGTGTGGGTTTGTTCCCATAAATTACTGGGCAGTTTGGATTATCTGTCCAAGGGCAGTATGTAAGAATGTTAACATCACAGAGACTTTAAAATCACATGGAATAAGGCTATCCTGAGGGGCTGAGGAACCGTCCTCACTGTGTCCTGGGCAGGGCTTGGTGGAGATGGGTCCCATCACCTGTTGACAAGACTGGAGAAGCCCCTCCTTGCCTACTAGGGACCTCTGCCTGTCCTGGGGGTCCCAGAGAGTTCCTCATTTGGGTGGGTTCCAGAAGTCTCCTTTCAGACACAGGAACAAGAGCTTGAGGGCTCTGGGAACATGCCAGGAGCTGCCAACCATTGCTGCCCTCTGTGTCCCAGGGATGAAGAGGGTAGATTTGGTACAGACTGTGCCCATGGGCACTGAACAGGAGGACAGTGCAGACAGGAGGGCTGCCTTTGGGTACACATGTGCTCCATGGGGTGGGGCTGACTAAGCCGCCCTGCTTACAACCTGCCACAGCCCTACTGTGGGGTCCTGGCCATTTGTGAATGTCTTTGAGGCCAGCGAGGGAGTGGGTGCCTATTGTTATGGTTACCATGGAAGCCAATTGTCATATGCTGTGGTGGCAGCAGTGAATCCATTTGTACAGAGACCACTGCACCCAACTGAAGCCCAAACTACTCAGCTGGGGGCAGTGGTGCATGAATGTAACCTTAGCTAGCTACTCAGGAGCTGAGGCAGGAGATTGTAAATTCAAGCCCAGCCTGGTCAATTTCATGAGACCTTTATGTCAAAAAACAAAAAAAAGAAAGAAATAGGTGGGTCACAGCTCAGTGGTAGAGTACCTGTGGGTTCAGTCTCCAGTACAACAACAAAACAGCAAAAACTAAAAGTGAGGAAATCGGGGGCCTGCCCCTTAGCTCAGTTCTTTAAGTGGCTGCTCAACAAAGCAGTCAGGCTCAGGTTGCTGTGGTTCGATCCCCACAACTCAAGCCAGCCAAACCTGCCCTGAAGGCATTCGGAGCAAAAAAAAAAGTGAGGAAATCTGCCTGCATATTCTAGTATGATTCTTTCTGTGGAGCTCACACTTACATCGGTATTTTCAGGCTGGTGAGATAGCGCAGCAGAATAAAATGCCTCCTTAGGCAAGTGCAGGGATCTTTGGTCCTCAGCACCACATGCCACATCAGCCCCGCCCCCAGGGCAGGCTGAGCTGGCCACAGAGTCCAGGCGTAGTGGTAGAGGCCTGTAATCCCAATGTTGGGGAGTCTGAAAACAGGAGGATCACTGTGAGTCTGAGCTCTGTAGTGAGACCCCATAACAACCAAGTACATTAAAAAAAAAAAAAAGAAAAAAAAATACTTTCAACCAGGCTAACAGAAATACAACTAATGTGCACAAACAAAACATGCAGTTTTAAAAACTATCTTATGTTGGTCTGGCTAGGTAGCTCAGTAAACTAAAGTGCCTGTTTCGGCAGGTGCAGGGACCGGGGTTTGATCTCTGCCTCACTACGCCAGCCCCATCCCCGGGGTGCGCTGAGACCAAGAAGGAGACTGGGTATGGTAGCATGGGCCTGTAATCCTAGCGCCTGGGAGGTTGAAAACAGGAGGATCACTAGTAGTCTGATCTGTGTAGTGGGACCCTGTAGACCCTTACTAAATAAAAAAATAAAAATACATAAAAACTATCATGTTAATAGTACTAAGGGCTGGCCAAATAGCTCAGCAGATTAAAATGCCTGCAAGCAGGTGCAGGGATGGGGGGTTCAATCCCTGGGCCTGCCATGCCACCCCCACCCCAGGATGCACTGAGATGGCAAATGAGACTGGGCATGATTGCTCACTCCTGTAATCCCAGCTCTTGGGAGGCTGTAAACAGGCAGATCACTACAAGTACGATCTAGTAGTGAGACCCTGAACACCCTCTAGACTCTTCCCTAAAATACAAAGACAGTACTGAGTTCAATGAAAAAGGCTTTGGTGACAGAAAGTAGGCAGCCAACAGCCATCTAGACCCATGGAACAGAAGTGAGAGTCCAGAACCCCCAAACATGGTCCATGGATTTTCTTACAAAGGTGAAAAAATTAACAGATAAGCACAAAAGGTAGGATATCTTCATGCAAAAGAATGAATTTGGTCACATACCATACAAAGAACTCAAAATCCATCAAAGACCTACCTATGAAAGCTAAAACAAAATATTAGAAAAAACACACATGATTAAACTTAATTCCTTAGGCTCTCTGCTCCTGCATGTCCACCAATAGCTGTTCTTCCTGTGCAGCCAACAGTGATCCAGACAAGATGGTGAAGGTTGGAGTGAATGGATTTGGCTGTATTGGACGCCTGGTCACCTGGGCTGCTTTTAACTCTGGCGAGGTGGATGTTGTGGCCATCAGTGACCCTTTCGTTGACCTCAACTACATGGTCTACATGTTCCAGTACGATTCCACCCATGGCTAGTTCCATGGCATGGCACCGTCAAGGTTGGGAGTGGGAAGCTCGTCATCAATGGAAAGGCCATCGCCATCTTCTGAGAGCAAGATCCCACCAACATCAAGTGGGGCGACACTGGTGCTGAGTACGTGGTGGAGCCCACTGGTGTCTTCACCGCCACGGAGAAGGCCAGGCTCACCTGAAGGGTGGTGCCAAGAGGGCCATCATCTCCGCCCCTTCCGCTGATGCCCCCGTGTTGTGACGGCTGTGAATCACGAGAAGTGCAACAACTCCCTCAAGATTGTCAGCAATGCTTCCTGTACCACCACCTGCTCAGCCCTGCTGGCCAAGGTCATCCGTGACCACTTCAGCATCGTGGAGGGCCTCATGACCATAATGCACGCCATCACTGCCTCCCAGAAGACTGTGGACAGTCCCTCTGGGAAGCTGTGGGTGATGGCCGTGGGGCTGCCCAGAACATCATCCCTGTATCCACTGGTGCTGGAGGCTGTGGGCAAGGTCACCCCATAGCTGAACGGGAAGCTCACAGGCATGGTCTTCCATGTGCCCACTCCCAATGTGTTAGTGGTGGATCTGACCTACTGCCTGGAGAAAGTGGCTCAGTACGATGACATCAAGCAGGTGGTGAAGCAGGCATCAGATGGTCCCCTCAAAGGCATCCTGGGTTACACCGAGGACCAGGTTGTGTTTTGCAACTTCAACAGTGACACCCACTCTTCCATCTTTGAGGCTGAGGCTAGCATTTGCCCTCAATGACTACTTTGCCACGCTCATTTCCTGGTATGACAATGAGTTTGGCTACAGCAACAAGGTGGTGGACCGCATGGTCCACATGGCCTCCAAGGAGCAAGTGCCCCACCCCCAGCCCAGTGAGACTAGAGAGATGGAGAGGTCACACTGTATAAGTCACTGCCCTGGGGCCAGGGAGATGACTCAGTAGAATAAGCACTTGCCTGGCAAGCGCAAGGGCCTGAGTTCAATCCCTGGTTCCGCAAAAAAAAAAAAAAAAAAAAAATCACTGCCCTACTTAGCCCCAACACTGAGCATCTCCCCTCACAGCTTCCATCCCTGGCCCCCTAGAAGCGGAGGGGCCTCGGGATCCTGGCTCGTTGCCCTTGCACACCATCAGTAAAGCCCACTGTACCCAGAAAAAAAAAAAAGAAAACTCTTCATTCCTTAGATTGGGCCATGGTTTCTTAGACACAACATGTAAGGCACAAGAAACTAGATAACTTCAAACAGCATCAAAAATAAAACCTTTTGTATCATAAATGATACCACCAAAAAAGTGAAAACACAGGACCCACCAGAGATATTTACAAGTTATATTCTTTTTTTTTTTTTTTTTACAAGTTATATTCTGATAAGGATTTAGTCTTTAGGATATGAACAATGCATTTTTCTTAAACCCAATCATTTGCTGTTTTGTGTTTTGTTTTTAAATCTTCTATTTATTTGGTACGGGGTCTTGCTATGCAGCTCAGACTTGCAGTGATCCTCCTGTCTCAGCCTCCCTAGTGCTGGGATTACAGGCCTGAGCCACCATGCCCAGTTTTGTTGGCCTGCACAGCAGGTAATACTGGAGATTGAACCTATGTCCTTGTGCTTGCCCGGCAGGTGCTTAGACTGCTAAACTGTCTTCCCAGCCCCATTTATGTTAACATTTAAGAATTCTTTACATATTCTGAATAAAATAAGACGTAGGTAAAGGATATGACTAGACATTTCACCAAAGAAGTGATAATGGCAAATGATCATATTCTTGAGAAGATGCTAAAGATTGTGAGCTCAAGGCTAGCTTGGACACGTCGCAAGACTCCTGTCTCCAAAACCAAAGGAGTAAGTACGGTCTGCAACAGAGATGGGCCCTGGAAATGGCCGCATAGAAGCTCAACACAACAAGCTACATAATGTGCCTCCATGAACATGGAGGGCCCAGAACAGGCAACTCCTTACAGAAAGGTCTGTGATTGCCAGGGCTGGAAGGGAAGCCAGGGAGGCTACAGCTGGACCTGACTAGCCACTTAAGTTGTCCCCACCATGATCACAAGGGGTCTTTCCTGTTTCCTTATGTGGCGTCTGGTTGCACTATCAATAAAGTCATAAGGAACGGTACCTGGGGCTTTAGACAGACCTCAGTGCCATCAGTGCCACAGACGTACCTGATGTCTGTGAGAGATCAGGTACATTTTGGCTCAAAGTCACTTTTGTCCAGGCATTATATACGCCCCTTCCCTCAGACCCAAACTCCGGGCTCCACTGGTCTCGCTGTCTGTAAGTCCTCCTTAAGCTGTACTCTGTGATTACCTCTTCAGTCTCAGGGTGGGTTGTGGTTGGCTCTGTACCAGTGGGTTTTCCCAGGACATGGAGTGACTACTAATGGCTCTGGGGATGCAAACGTTCTGAGTGAATGTTGGTAGTTATACAACTTTGTGAATACACCAAGCCCACTAACTTGCATACGTAAAGTGAATGAATTCTGTGATCTGTGCATAAAATCTCAAACAAAACAAACCAAACAGCCCAAGCCCTTTCCTAGAACACAGCCACTCACCCTACCAGGAGCGATGAGGTTCTCCACACCAACTAGGTCCCGCTGCAGCTCTGTTAGCTTCTGCAGGTTCTCAAGCCGGACGAGACTGTGCTGGAGAGTAGTGGTCACTTCCGTAATGGCTTTCAGGGCATCTGTGTTGAGAGACCCCTCAGACCTAGCCCCCAAACGTCCCCTCCTACCACCAAAAGCAGGAACTGGCATTTTAAAGATAGGCTCTAATTCAAGGCATACTGTGCCGGTCTCCATGGCATGGCCTTGCCAGCCAGACCAGGCAATCTCAGCTCTACTCTCTCCACTCTGCTGACCATGCACACTAGTCCAATAGAAATGGTTTATTGTTTCGAAGGTAAATGCTTTGCATTTCATAAGTGATGCCCATCTTATAGTTAAGAGGTTTGTAATTAGGAAGGAAAACTCACTAACACAAAACAAAAACACCAACAGTGTCCATCCAGTCCTGAGCAGGCCAATCTGGGAGCAGCTACTTGGCCAACCCAGTCTTGCCTCTGCAGCTGCTGGAGCTCAAAGGTGCATCTCCCTTGTCGGAGCCACTCTTTGGATCACTCTCTGTTATCAGGACCAACTTCCTGCTGGCCCCCCATCCCCTGCTTCACGAAACCTGCAGCTAGACAGGAAGCCCAGCTTACTTGGTCTTGTCCTGCCCTGTACCTGACCCACCCTGCTCTTAGCCTCCTCTTCACAGAAGCTTTCAGAGGAGAAAGCAGGTGAGAGAGAAGCACTCAAGTGATCAGCATGGATAACAGCACTGAGAATACAGGAGGATCTTTAGAGATGCCACCATGGTCTTCACACACAGTCCTGGCAGCTGCATCTGTTCTGTGTGATGCCCTAGTGCCCTCCCAAGACCAGCTTGAGGGTGAACTCTTCCTCCTGACATCCATTGGGCAGAGGCTCAGCCCTACACAGCTGTCTGGCCCATGTTTTTCCTGGATAGCACTCAGTGTCACCACACTTAGATACCCAGTCCACAGGGTGCAGCACTGTTATCCTGCACTGCCACACAAGTTCTGCACCACACATGGGGGCCCTGATGTAGTGACAAGCTGGGCACAGGATTCAGATCTGATGGCACCCTCACAGAGACAGTGGCACACACAAAGCCAGTGTGTGCTGGTGACAGCCATGAGTACTGTGCACTCAGCAAGGGCCAGACACTGCTCTGGGAAGGCCCCATTAAAAGGAAGGCCAAGCAGAAATGCCTTCTCCACGCCCAGCCTCAAGTCCCCCTCTTCTGTGCAGGAGTTCAATTCTCAGTTCTCAGGAAGCCCAAGAGCTGAAGGCTGCTGTATGTGGCCTCTCTTCACAGGCTCTTTCCTGATAGACTTGTGCCCAAGGCAGGTCACTGTCTGGAAGGGTAGCTGAGGATGTGTCTGTCACTGGGGCTTTGTCATGCTCCTACTGGCAGAGTTCTTAATGCTCTATCAAAGTGACAGCTTACAAACCCATGAGAAATAGCCTTATGCTGTTTTCCCACAGGCCCGCGAGACTTCTTACTGTGAGGAACTCAAATGTGTTGTGAGGCGCAGTTCTGTGTGCACAGCCACATGCCCCTGCACACAGTGGACATGGGCTGCTGCTTGTCACCTGGTGCAGTCTCCCTGGTCACCTGGAGTCCCTGCCCTTCTCCTCCAGCTCTGGTACTACTGTGGTTTATGAGTGGTGATGAGAAGTACGTTAGGCGTGCTGTGATTTCACATGTCCCTTACAATGCTTGGAAAGGTCTTCCTATTGTTGTTTGCTTTAATGAGACAGGGTCTCATTATGCAGCCCAGGCTGGCCTCAAAGTCACAGCGATCCTCCTGCATTAGCCTCTTGAGTGCTAGGATCACAGGTGTGTGCCACGCACCTGGCAGGAAAGCTTTTAAATAATTTCCTTCTTTTTTCTTTTTAACAAACATAATTTGGAATGAAGAGGAAGAGAACTGTTGACTTCTATGATCCATTCTGTTTCTTCTCAGGATAATCCCGGATTCACACACATGGAACGCTATGGGAAACCCACTAGAAGGAAATACTAAACATTTTTTTTTTAAGGCAGGGTTTCATAATATAGCTCAGGCTGGCTGTGAACTCACTATGTAGTTCATACTGGCCTTCTACTTGTGTCAATCCTCTTGCCTCAGCATCCCAAGTGTTGGGATTATAGGCATGCACGAACATGCCTAGATTTATCTCTACTTTTTTTTTTTTTTTGAGTTTGACAAAATTTATTGGTTATTTTAGTAAAGACATTCATCTCAGTCATTTCTCTCTCATCTTGACCTTACATTAGTATTTCATTTGGGTCAAGAAAAGAGTATGTAGGAGAGGGATGTTATGTTAACAAACAGTAAAATGGACAAAAATGAGTTAAGTTTGCCTACATAAAAGTA